ACACAACACCTCCCATATTATTACCAACTGTTTTGATGGACATAACACCTCCTCTCACTAGAAATTTTAGAAAGTAATCTACATATGAAATTCCTATGCGCTCTTTATTTTCATCGACATTTTCAACAAACAAATTGTATTTGGCAAAATTGTTTTTTTTTTGTTAAACCATAAAGTGTGTAGATAAACATGTTTCAAATAAAACGTGAAGAAATTGTTTATTTGGAACATTTTTTTTAATATTTTTTTAGTAAAAAATTGTTTATGAACACAACTGTTTTGATGGACATAACACCTCCTCTCACTAGAAATTTCAGAAAGTAGTCTACATAAGAAATTCCTATGCGCTCTTTATTTTCATCAAAATTTTCAACAAACAAATTGTATTTTGCAAAATTGTATTTTGTTTTGTTAAACCATAAAGTGTGTACATAAACATGTTTCAAATAAACTGTGAAGACATTGCTTATTTGGAACATTTTGTTTTATATTTTTTAGTAAAAAAATGTTTTTGGACACAACACCTCCCATATTATTACCAACTGTTTTGATGGACATAACACCTCCTCTCACTAGAAATTTCAGAAAGTAGTCTACATAAGAAATTCATGTAAGAATATATACTTCATTACTATATTTTCACATCTCATCTTAATTCAAGAAAATGTTAAAAGCTAAACTCAAATTAAATCTGATTTTAATTATAGTAATTTCAGTTTTAATTGGCATGCGTGGTTATTATATAACACAATTAATTTTAAACGTAAAATATAAAACTTTCTTAGTTAAATATAAAAGTTATTTTTTGCCCTGTTACATACTTTTATATTATAAACTTCAAAGATTAGATGAGTGCAAAGGATAGGGCGGATATATCCGCCGCACTTACGCAATTTATCAACAACTTGTTGCAATATGAATTAAACAGTTACATAATGTTAAGTTACAGCTACAAAGTATATTATTTAAGTTATTTCGATAATTGATTATTTGGAGGATAGAATTATATAACACAATAAAACGTAAAGATTCTACGTTGTTTCATCTTTGACACCTCATAACCGTAAAAGCTCAAAACTATTAAACTAATAAAATAACCTTTTACGCAACCATTGATGCGAGTAGACACAATTTCCATAGTCCACTTGTTCCACTCTTCGTAGCAACTACCCTTATTTCACTTTTCGTCAAATTTATTTGCACTCAATTTATCAATCACAGACTACCAAAAAAAAAACGAGATACAGAACGCCCGCTCTTTCACATTTCGAAGTCGATATATAACTCAACCATCATCCCTGAAAAACTATAGAACGCTTCAGATGATTCTCCATTCATCCACGAAATTTTGTACAAACCGCAATAATTATCCGATCGATGCTAACACAAACATACAAATTCAATTCAATATTCCTCGTACAATTTTTTTTTCTATCCGCCTCTTTACATAATTAAGGCGACCGCCACCCTCCCGACGGATTGTTTGATCCGAAGCCCTCGACGTCTGCTTTAAATGGAAAAATCCCCTAAATGATTTTTCCTCTACTCTCACATTTTTTTTTCATTCTTCAGTCGCGCAAAGTCGGATTTTTTCATTAGAATAATGGGTTCGTAACTAATCTGCCGTTAAATCTGTTCAGGATTCAACAGTTCTTATTACTACTACAACTGCCACTATTTTTTTTAACATAATATTTGAGTGTCCTTTGTGCTTTCTTCTCAAATGAGAACTGAAGGTGAGTGTTGGAATTAAATGGAAACTCAAGCTAATTGAGTTCCAAGCTCAAAGGAAGTCTAGTTTCCTTTATGAAACTCACTGAAACTAATATTCTCATATATTTTTATTACCATTCTTCACATTTCATTCTTTATACATAATCTGGTATTTCAGGAAACTGGAGTCTTTCAATACTTGAAATAACTTTATTAATATTAATTTATTACTTCTACTTAGTTAATTTAACAAAATATAATAAACTTTTGTAAAATAATAGAAGTAATGAAATAAAAAAAAGGAAAAGAAACACAAAATTGAATTTTACAAAATTACAAAAATCAATGTAAAACTTGTTAACTTTTACTTAAAGTATTAAGAATATACATATAATGATAGTTTTTTTTTTATTTATTTTGATAAATATCACCCATCTGTGAGAACATTTGCTTAACTTTTTCAGCATGTTAAAAATCAAGGTAACGTGTAAACGTGTAGTAAAGATAGGTTAAGAATAAGAAATGAGTACTATAAAGTAAAGTAAGAGAATATAATACTTCTGTTGAATGTTTGCAGTGGATTAAACATTGAATGATTGAGATCGTTCATGTTGATGAAATGGGTCGGGTCAATAGAGTTTGGTAAAACCTAAAAGCAAACACCAACTGGGGAGGTTGGTTTTCTGTGCGAAGAATTACAAATGGAAGAGGAGAACCGTCGAGCAAAAATTAATTTGCGTTACATAATTCATGAGGCGGCGGCGGCTGAAGATAAAATCCCCGAAAACCGTAATACGCGGCTCATTAGTATCGCGTTTTTGCCGCATTCATATCCGGTGCAAATATTTAATACCCGGGTTAAATAATCGCCACCCACCGAAAATGTAGAAACTCCGTCGCAGGGGATGGAGAATGTTCCGATAAAAGGGCCGATGCGAATCTCCCTCTCTCGGTCGGTGGTAATAAATTAGGCCCTTTTGGCATTCAAATGCTTGGAATCAAAAGGATACGTCCATATCAGCGCGCCAAATTGATATGGATGCAAAATGTCCAGACTGAGGGGTGGATGGACGAGTAGTCCATTAACACCCTCAGGCAGTATTTCACACTTCACTCAGCAGCAACAGCAAAAAATACCTATATACAGGAGAAGAAAGCGATTCGTATATTTCCATCATTCATCCCCCTTTAGTTTAGACAAAATATAGAAATAGAGTGAATAGAAGTGAAATAGAGTTTGTTTTTTTAGGAATTGAGAAAAAAAAGTTTGCAATTGGCGTCGTCTTAAATTGAATTGTAGTTGGTTAAAGTAGTTCCTTTAATTGCAGACAAGTTTAATTAATCTGGAGGCGACGCCGGGGGCGGCGGATACAGGCCAAGAACCCTTTTCCAAAAGGAAGCAGCAACACATCGATGTAACTAGACTGCAGTGCGCGCACCGTTTTATTTTGCAACCCCTTCGCGCGCGCAAAAAAAAACCTCTGCTTGGTGTGAAAGGCGTAATTAACATTCTCGACCCTTAAAGCAAACCAACGCTTATTTCGTTTTATGGCGAAAAATGCAGAGAATGTATAAAAAAAATTGTTTGATGTGTGAGGAATCGAGGTTGAGTACGAGGGCGGCAATTTCCAATAGATATTATCCGAGGATCGGTTCTGATGGGAAACGAGGAAGAACTATTTCCCGGAGCGGTTTAGATAACATTTGGAATGAAAACTTTGCTGGTAATTGAATCATAACATTGTCCTTCAATTAATGATCTGATCCAACTGGTCAGGACGAATCGGAATTTAAAATTGATTACAGAATTTTATCTAATCCAATTAAACACACAAAGATATAAATTACTTCATTACATTAAATAATAGAAAAATGTGCTTCAATTCTTTGTTTCTCTTCAAATCTAAATTTCTGTTATGTTTAATATTTTTTTTTATGAATTCTTTGAATAGGTATGTTTTTTCCTGAGTGGAATAGGAATAAAGTTCGGATTTATGGACTATAACAGAAATGAAAGGGGATGCTATCACAATGGCGCATTTTGGGCGTTAGTGCTTCAGGGATCATTTGAGGCCATTTCATCTTAGAAGCAACAAAACGACTGCTGCTTTGATCAGTCGAGTATAAATTAGGGTCACCTCCGTCCGCATCACGTTACATAATCCACTGAATTCAAATGTTATATACTAGTTTGCATGTAATAATATATCAAAAAGCTCTTACTTATTACACAACCAACTTTCTTAGTTAAATATAAAAGTTATTTTTTGCCCTGCTACATACTTTCATATTACTAACTTCAAAGATTAGATGAGAGCAAAACATAGGGCGGATATATCCGCCGCGCGTACGCAATTTATCAATAACTTGTTGTAAAATGAATTAAACAGTTAGATAATATTAACATACAGCTACAAAGTATTTTATTTAAGTTATTTCGATAATTGATAATTGATTATTTGGAGGATAGAAAAGTGATGATGATTTTTAAGAAACTACACCGAATCTAAGTACACAACCAACTTTTTTTAGTTAAATATAAATATTATTTTTTGCTCTGTTACATACTTTCATATTACTAACTTCAAAGATTAGATGAGTGCAAAGCATAGGGCGGATATATCCGCCGCGCTTACGCAATTTATCAATAACATGTTGCAATATGAATTAAACAGTTACACAATATTAAGATACAGCTACAAAATATATTATTTAAGTTATTTCGATAACTGATAATTGATTATATGAAGCATAGAAAAGTAATGATGATTTTTAAGAAACTATAACGAATCAAAGTACACAACAAACTTTTTTTAGTTAAATATAAATGTTATTTTTTGCGCTATTATATACTTTTATATTACTAACTTCAAAGATAAGATGAGTGCAAAGCATAGGGCGGATATATCCGCCGTGTTTACGCAATTTATCAATAACATGTTGCATTATGAAATAAACAGTTAGATAATATTAAGATACAGCTTATTTGGAGGATAGAAAAGTAATGATGATTTTTAAGAAACTACAACGAATCTAAATACGCAAACAACTTTTTTAGTTAAATATAAATGTTATTTTTTGCCCTATTATATACTTTTATATTACTAACTTCAAAGATTAGATGATTGCAAAGGATAGGGCGGATATATCCGCCGCACTTACGCAATTTATTAATAACTTGTTGCAATATGAATTAAACAGTTACATAATATTAAGATACAGCTACAAAGTATATTATTTAAGTAATAATTGATAATTTATTATTTGGAGGATAGAAAAGTACTTACGGTCCGATCGCCAGGATGCTTGACTCTGCAATTGAGAAGAGCCGATTGGCCAACCACTGCAGTCACGTTCCTGGGTCCAATATCATCGAAATAGGGTCGTTCGACCGATAACTTGCCGGGATGCTCCTGGTATCGCAATTTCACCTCCGACACGCCGACCAAACTGCCAGCTGCTGGAAGCAATACCAACAAAAAAATAAATAAATAAAAATAAAGAAGAAGAAAAAAACTAGAAGATGCCATTAAATTTAATAATACTGAGACATCCCAATATATATATATATATAACACAGACAATCTCATGAAGAGGAAAAAAAGGGGAGTAAAAAAAAATCGTAGTAATTCACCGAAATATCCTCCAGAAGCGAGGAAATAAACAGAGAAATATATTTTTATGGTAATTGCATCGTCGAATTGCCGGGGCGCATTTCAACATAGCTAATAATAAATATACACAGGCCATTATCTAGTAATAACACATCATTATGCAACATCAACAGGTCCTCGAGGAAAATGCTCTTCGCGTTCGCTTCGGTTTCCCCGCAGTACGTTTTGTTGCACGATTAAATTATTGTACGGCCCTAATAAAATCCGACCGTTGCGGAATTCAATTAAATCTGGGGGAAGGAAGGTAGAGGACGAAAAGCGAGCGAGGTCGCAACCAAGAAAATGCCCATTTTGCATGCGCATAAATTTATTAACCTAATTGTAATTAATTTTTATTATTCACGTCCCTTATTTCTTTTTTCGGTCTTAATAAGGGTGGACGTAAACAAAGCGAGAAGATGCGTATGGGTGTTTAAATTTCCGGTTTTAAAGTTTAAATGAATTTGGAAACATTGCTCATCCAAATTCGGGCCAAGTGGCACAAACCGCTCTTGTTTGGATATATTAGTTCGACAAAGTTTAAATTACTACTAAGTCTAACAAGAAACTAATTTCATTACATTACACGGATGCTTCACTAATTCAATACAAAAATAATAAAGCAACAATTCGAATCTAAAACCACAGTATAAACGAGAATTGAAATATTCCAAGTAAACAATTAATTATATAAAAAAAAAACAAACTATTTCCATTCAATTTTTGTATGATATTAATGAATATTTACTAAAAAAATGTTAAAATAAAGAAATTGTACTTTCGCCGGGTAGTATATAAAATATTTAGTGTTTTCTGTACGTAATACATGCGTGAATGAAACGTTTTCTACTTTTTTCCTGTACATAATGTAAAGCTAAGTAAATAAGGACAATAAAGATGTTTTTTTTAGTTGTTCGTGTAGATAATGTGAACATTAACAAAACTTTGTAATAAATTAGTTAATTCAGAATAAAATAACTAAGAAAATAATCAAATTCAATTAGTGCAAATAAATAAGTTATAAATTAGTATTATGAGAAATAATTATGAATAAAATTGTTGGTATTTCTACAAAGTGTAAATGAAAGAAGTAGTTTAATACTTTTTTTTGATTCTATTACAAACGTAATAATAACAATTGGAAAATTTCACATGGCAAGTTTAAAATTTTAGAAAATCATTAAAAAAATAATTTAAAAAATCTTTTACATTCAATTAATACTTTCTTTATTTGTTCAAATAATGTAAGTATTTCATATTTTAATATAAGGCAAAAAACTAATATTGTTACAATTATTTCATTTCTTTTAGGAAAAGTATTCAAATTCAAGAAAAAACTCAGAATTATTAATATTCAAATAATGGATGCACTATGTAATATATAAAATTGACGTAGAAAAGTACTTATTTCCTGTACATAAATAAATTGTGAATGCGCCGGGTAATATATAAAATATTTACAGTGTTTTCTGTACATAATACAAGCATGAATGAAACCTTTTCTACTTTTTTCCTATACATAATGTAAAGCCAAGTAAATAAGGATAATATAGATGTTTTCTAATTGTTTGTGTAGATAATGTAAAAAATAACAAAACTTTGTAATAAAATAGTTAATTTACAATAAAATAACTAAGAAAATAATCTAAGCATTTTTATGTGAAAGAAAAAAAATTTAGAGAAAATTATTTGGTAAAATTTACAAAAATATTCGTACAAATGAAATTAGTGCAAATAAATAAGTGATTATAAAGATAAAGTAGTATTAATATTTTTTTTAGTTTTTCTACAAAGTATAAATGAAAGAAGTAGTTAAATTCAGTTAAACGAATGTTTCGTTAATTTGATACAAAAATATGATAGCATCAAACCGAATATAAAACCGCGTTATGGATGGGAGAATTGAGATCCCCGAAGCGAATGTTTAATCTAAAATATTTTTACGATGATATATCGGGGGACGGTTTCTCTCTTTCTCGAAGACTTATTCGTATATAATAATTGTCAGCCATAAAACGGACATAAAGCCGCGGTCACGGATGAGAGATGGCGCAATTTCGAGATTCCCGCAGGATTCCACTACTCCCTCCTCATCTCATCCACACACATATTCCAAAACGACTCTCCAACGCCCTCCCCTTCAATACAAATCGATTTATATTTCAATCATAAAATTTAAAACGTCGCCGCCGACGCTAATCCATTAGCCACCTGGAAACTAGGAAATGGGAACGAGAATATTTATTTCAAACTGTCTCTGATTTTTACGAGCGCGAATCGCGTGGACGTAAAAGAAGGTAAAGGTACAATTTGTAGGAAAAGTCGAGGCAGAATCGAATAACGTTCGTTATTTCTGAAAGAAAAGGAACTCAAGTGCAATTCCGTGGAGTGTATGGAGGATGGGAGAGTCTTCGGAATAAGTTGTAGTGTTTTCAATTTGGGACAGGAATCAAGCGAGATATTAACCGTTTCCACCCTTTATTCTGAACGGAATAAGCGTTTTTTTTCTTTTCTTTTAAAGCTCGAGGGAAAGTTTAAAAGGAATGAGATGAGTCCATTAAGGATAGAGAAAAAGATTTTGTTTGTTTTGCTGTGTTTTTAACTAAAAATTTAATCAATTATTTTCTACTCATTGAAACCAAACACTTAAAGAATTGATAAGTTCATTTTTTCGGAATATAATGTATCTATGAAATTTATAAATAAAAATTATGAAAAAATGATGTAATGGAATGTTTAAACTAATTGAATTACAAATAGGAAGTTGATGTTTACTATTGCCTGAGATACAGATTTGTAGATATAGTTGAAATGATCTTAGGGTTGCTAAGTAAATGGGTTACATGGGTAAGACCAATTTGCAAACGCTAATTGGACACTGACATATTAAGTCCAAGTCTTTGCACGCACTTAAAACCCTTCAACTGTAAATTACCACCGCTAAAGATTTAATTAATTCACTAAACTTTCGACACTTCAGCAACTAATTCCTTGTTCCTTATTTAAGTACATCATAAAAAAGATATACTTAATTTATTATTTCTTTTAGTTGATTCTAATACTACGATTATGGACAAATTTCTACAACAATTGTACCATTATTTTAATCATACTTTTAATCCATGATCATAACTCTATAATATTGTATAAATCTATAAAAATCTACTGTCATAAAAGTAAATAAAAAATACTAGAAAAATGAATAAACTATATATATTTTTATGCACGCACATATTTATTACAATTTTTTTTTGTATTTTGTGTTGCATGCATATACATAATTTAATTCGGGAATGGCAAAAATCACCGCATAAGCTATATGTTTTAAATATTCAATTAAAAAAGTCAATCACAAAATGTGGATGCTTTCAGGATTTATTCAATTCGTCCGTTGTAAACATCACGTAAGCCCATGCAAAAGCGTATTACATTTTTTTTATATAATTGATCCATGTAAAAATTATGCGCTTTAAATTTTCCATATCCATAGTTTTATTTATAAAACAATTGTAATTATTCAACAAATTGTCAGTACATCATGATATTACGTTAATTTTTAATAATTTTAGTATCAATTTTACACTTTTGTAAATTTAATTCAATAAAATCCTGAAAATAATTTCATTTTTTCGTTGCACTAACAAAATATTTGTGTTTTCAAACTTGTGAAAATCAGGTAAAATTATGTTTTTTATGCTTGTTTTTAAAACAATATAGTAAAAAAATTCAATTGTGCAAATCTTTTAATAAAATACGAAAAAAAAATGTCATCTACTTTATTTTATTTAATTTGAAGGAAATATGAAATAATTAAATGTTAAATTTAGTATTATAGTAGTTTAACTAAATAATTGATGATTTGGGTTATGAAACTCTATTAAAATAATAAATTTCTATTGGTTCTAAAGGTCTGGAGGGTGCAGAGGAATAATATCCGTATAATATAACGTCCGTTTAAGTGTTCGTAGGCGTGCAGGAAACGGGGAAATGGATATAAAATCCCAACTGGGCTGTACATCAAATATATGCGAAATGGTAATGTCGGATGTTATTATCCTACAAAGAGTAATAACCGAAAATGAAGGTAGGCGAAAGGGCAGCCGAGCGTGCAGTAAATTCGGAACGTCGAGGCGTTAAGTCTGAAAATTTTCAACCCTTAAGTATATCGAGAGGAGGAGGAGGAGGAGGAATAAGATGAGGAAAGGGCGAGATGCTAGATCGACCTTCGTGATGGGCGTAATTCGGCGGCAAATCACTTCTCGCACGTATCCACGTGTGTATTGGTATTAATAATTCGAAGGCGAAGGAAGGGAAGATTGCTCTCAGTGTAAATCTTACACTACACGTACTGGCAATTCCTTTAGTGCGGGAAGGATAGCCGAGACATACAAGTTTCTACAGCCATCTCCGCCACCCGCAAACCTCCTTCACCGAAGGCTGAGTTTTATACTTATGGGCTTAGAAGGTAACTCCTGCGGGTGTATTTCAGCTGGATCGTGAAATCGAGAGAGCCTGACAAATTGAAATGGGACAGGGCCGACAACACAACATACCGAAACCCTCACTCGCGCCACCCCCTTTTGGAAGACGATCTTATTTTATTATGTGCTCGACCGTGTTATACGTGTGTAGGCAATCCAATTATGCGCGACGAAAACGCAATTAAAATTTCTTGCGTAACCTCACGTTGATTGCCATCACGCTCCGTCGAGAAAGGATGAAACCGCATTTCTAAATATGATTATGTATTAATTTTGTATACAGATTCAAGGATTTTTACATAAATCACAAGAAACAAATAGTATACATAATAT